GTTCTGCCTGGTACAGAGGCACCACGGGACCCTAGTCAATATCAGCCTCGGGGTTATGCCTGGTCTGCCTGATCGTGGTCCATTGTGCAGCTGCTTAAATCCCTAGAAAAATGATTCTGCGTACCTTTCAGTCCATATGGTTTTTGGAGTGCTAAAAGCTCACAGGTTTGCATGCACTGCTCGTAGAAAGGGGAAGCTAGAGTTTTTTAATACCCTCCATCCACACAGCACCACACACCCACAGCACACATGGTGGAATTGCCTCTCCAGGTACAGATTGGCTGCCACACCGACGACTTGACGAGTGCCAGCAAGCTGTCTCGAGCCCCTGTGGTAACTCACCAGTGCTGCATGGATAGGACCAAACTGTCAGTCTCCTGCCTCTGGGGCGGCCTTCTCTATGTCATCGTGCCCAAGGGCAGTAAACTGGGCCCCGTGTCCGTCACCATCAAGAGGGCTGTGCCTGCCCCATATTACAGGCTGGGTGAGTGAACTGAACGTGGAGGGGAGTGGGAGAGCCGGGGGTGCTGTGGTGTTGATGGGCTGGTTGAAGGAGGGGAGGGAAGAGGATTGGTGGACAGAAGGAGGAGGGACTGTCTGAGGTGCCAGTGGAGGTAGGAGATGAGGGACTCCCTGTGTCCATGGAGACTTCTGGGCAGAACAGAGGGAAGGGTCTGGGGGCCTGTCCTTCACTTCACAGCACGTAGACCCACATGATAGTAGTTCATCATTTCACTGTCCTCCTCCTGGAGTTCCAGTTGTGTTTTTCAGCTCAAGGAAAGTTGAGGAAGTGGGTGACAGGTTCCATGCCCTTTATTCCCAGGTAAGACATCCCTGGAGGAGTGGAAGAGGCGTATCCAGGAGAGCACAGCTCCCTGGGGAGAGCTGGCAACAGACAACATCATCTTGACGGTGCCAACTGCAGACCTCCAGGCCCTGGAGGACCCTGAATCTTTACTCCACCTCTGGGATGAGATGATGCGGGCTATAGCCAGGCTGGCAGCCCAGCCCTTTCCTTTCCTCCGTCCAGAGAGGATTGTTGCTGATGTGCAGATCTCAGCCGGTGGGTGCTCCAGAGGGATGCTCCTAGTCTGTGGACACCATTTATTTATTATTTTGCCCTTTTTTGGCCCGTAGTTTTTTATTTTTATTTTTTGTAGTGTCTTTGTCTGGTTCTGGTATCAGGGTGATGGCGGCTTCATAGAATGGCTTTGGGAGTGTTCTATCCTCTTCCGTCTTTTGGAAGAGTTTGAGAAGCATTGGTATAAGTTCTGCTTTGTATGTTTGGTAGAATTTCCCTGTGAAGCCGTCCAGTCCTGGACTTTTGTTTGTAGGGAGTTTTTTAAATTACAGGTTCTATTTCACTTCTAGCAATTGGTCTGTTCAAATTATCTGTTTTTTCTTGACTCAATTTGGGCAGGCTGTGTGTTTCTAGAAATTCATCCATTTCCTCTAGGTTGTCCAATTTGTTGGCATATGTTCATAGTATCCTCTTGTGATTTTCTGTATCTCTGTGGTATCAGTTGTTATTTCTCCTCTTTCATTTATTATTTTGTTTATTGGAGTCCCCTCTCTTTTCTTCTTGTGAGCCTGGCCAGGGTTTGTTGATTTTGTTTATCCTTTCAAAAAACCGGCTGTCGGTTTTATTGATCTTTTCTATTGTTTTTTTAATCTCTATTTATTCCCTGGCTGATCTTTATTTCCTTCCTTCTGCTGACATCTATTTTGCCCTTTTTAAATGTCCAATATGTGTAAGGCATAATTTTACCAGTAAAGTAAGGGAAAAAAAGATGTTCAAGACATGGACTTTGATGGAGATGAAAAGATGTTTACATGTGAAAAGGTAAATCATGTTCATCTAAAGCGTAAGATTTCACAGGAGGGAGAACAGTCTCAGAAAAATTAGTACCAGGAGTTCAAGATGGCAGTGAGCGTTGTTTCAAGGAGAGTTTAAAACAGAAATATCTCCTTCAAACATGTTGGCAATGAAAACAGAGAGTAAAGAGGTTTATGTTAAGTATTTGGTGGTTTAGAGGAAAGAAGGCCATCTTTAAAAAAAAAAAAAAACAAACACGGAAATCTGGTTCCAACATGTGGAAAATTCCTCTGGACCTGTTTTCTAATCTTCAAAAAACTACAAGATTTTCACTGTTAAAAAGTATAACTCTGGCCAACAGTAGCGTACACAGGAGAAGGAACGGCACTGCCCTAGCCTCAGGGATCTCAAATTCAGACACAGGACCTAATGTTGCAGACTCACATGCAAAGAAAACTCACACAAAAGGAAGCACTGAATTATAGTGAGAATGACTATATAAAGTGTTAACATTTGGGGGGCCAGAGAGAAGGCGAGGCATAACTCCAGTGTGGAGGCCAGGAAGAAGGATCGGGACTTTTCAGACCAAGTCAAAGAAAGCATCTGCTTTCCAATCAGCATGGAGATTCTGGAATTATGGTGGCAGCCAGGATGGCGAGAAAAAAATACACCATGGAGAGGAATGAAGGGAGATGGGTTTGGGTGGACCACGCCCACCATGCCTCACTCTTCCTTTTGCGTTCCCAGGCTGGATGCACTCAGGATACCCTATCATGTGCCACCTGCAGTCGGTGCAGGAGCTCATCAGTGAGATGGGCATGAGAAGCAGAGGTCTGTGGGGAGCCATCCACGAGCTGGGCCACAACCAGCAGCGGCACGGGTGGGAGTTCCCCCCACACACCACCGAGGCCACCTGTAACCTCTGGTCAGTCTATGTGCATGAGACGGTCCTGCACATCCCCAGGGCTCAGGCCCACCCAGCTCTGAGCCCTCCAGAACGAGAGAAAAGGATCAAAACACACCTGGGAAAGGGAGCGCCCCTGAACGACTGGAATGTGTGGACAGCTCTGGAAACATATCTAAAGGTACTGAACAGAAATTCAGGGAGATGCGGGCCACTAGACCCTCAGTCGTGTAGCATCCTGGATCCCAGGAGCTCTCCAACTCCTTCACCACCCCCATCAGCCTGGGCCCACCACCTCCCCTGGCTGCATGGCGGTGCTTCTCAGGTCATACATCTCTAAGATGGAGATAATGATGCCTGTCCCACTCACGTACTGTGGTTTTGTGATGATATGTAAGAGGAAATGAAAAATACTGTGAAAAGAAAAGAAGCAGAGAATGTAGTCTCTGGGTATATCGGTCAAGAGCAGAAGCTCTGAGTCACAGCGCTCCCACTCACTCGTCCGTCCTTTGTCCCCGAGTAGGTGCCTTGGAAATGGCGATCGTTTTGCTTTGCTTTGTTTTCCCTCACCTTAGTTTTATGCGTCAACTGAGTGTTGCATCCCTTCATAATTACAGTGATGTGTTAGGGGCAACTCCATTACAAGAAGGCCTCTTAGGAGGTAAATCTGTCAACGAGATTCTCATATTTCCATCACCCATTTGAACCCAAAATGTCTTTAGAATGAATAAGTAAATAACCAACCCAATAGAAGAACACCGAAGTCCCAAAGTGAGTCGATTTCCTATAAAATAAGCATAAATCCCTTTCCCCTCCCCCATCCTGCTTTGAATTTTTATATTTTCAAGTTGTCAAAGCCACTCCCCATATCAGATCTCCTATACTGTCTACCATGACTCTTTAGATAGTGGGTATTGCCCACTTCTTATAGGCACATGCTGAGTTAGAGAGTTTAAGCATCCTGTCCAATGTCACACATTTAAATGATGGACCCAGAACCTAAAATCAGGAGCTAATGACAAGCCCAGGCTTTTGCACTTCTGAACCCTCCCTTTGATTTTTTTTTCTTTTTTCACTCATTTTCTGAAGAGTGAGTGTGAGACAGCCCCAGTCAATGAGATAACTGTGTAGCATCAGCTCAGGATTCTCCTAGAGCCAGTCTGAGGGTCTACAGGGAAAGGGACCTTACATGGTAGTTGCCACTGAAGTGTAAGGCAAAGCCCTAATTCCACCCTACCTACTGACCCACTCACCATGAATATCATTTTGCAAAAGCTTTGGGGAGACCCCTCACCTTGAAGCCTGAGACTTGGTCCCAGGACAGAGAGATACCTTCTGTTTTCTTCGCCTGTGGGAGGTCTGCTCGCCATCATTCCTCCTGCTGTTGCCTTAGCATAGATCCTCAGGACCCTCTTCTGTTTTAAAAGCCTCCTCAGTTTTTCCAGCATCTTGCTTCAACCACCTATAATCCATCTTCCACACCACTTCCAAAATAATCTGAATATTCCATGTTTAAGCTCGTCAAGTGTTCTCCTTCACACACAGAATACAATGGAAGCTGCTTAGCTGGGTGCAGAAGGCCCTTTATCATCAGGCTTTGGCCAACACCTCCATCTCCATCTCCCAATTTCCCGTCTCCATAATTATCCTGCAGTTTACCGAGCTGCTTCCCGCTATGAACACATCTTGCTGTTTTCGTTCCTATACCTCCTCACGTTTCCTTCCTGCAGCTGCAACGTGCTTGAACACCTTGTCTGTTACCTGTCAAGTCACCTGTCAAAATTCAGCTCTCTTGTCCTCTTCTCCCGACATCATCTCCTTGACAAGCCAACTTTTTTTGTAATTTGTTTACTTACACGTCTGTCTCTCCCATTGACCAGTGACCTCCAGATAAACAAGAGCCTTAATCATTTTGCCTAGTGAAATACCCGGCACATTGTAGACATTTTTTAATGTTATGTGTGTGATAAATGTTTAATTTGTTGAGTACTAATTAAGAGAGATGAGCAGGACGATTGTCAAAGGCCAAGCAGTGAGAGCAGATGAGCAGTGAGAGCACAACAGTGAGAGCAGAGGGAGGCTGATCCAAATGCCATCAGGCTTTTACCCCTCAGAGTCAGAGGATTCTCCTCCACAAAAGGGCGTGGTCTCGGAAACCTCAAGATCCCGGCTAATTCTAAATCTCTATAATCTTGAAAAGAGTCTCCTGCCCATGGCTTTCACGTGGGCTGTTCCCTGTAAAGTATGAGTCACTCTCATTTTGAGCTCCTTGTGACATACCTGCTTCTTCCTTGTTTTGTCCCAAAGGCAGTGTTCCACAGAGAAAAACAGTAGCCTTGAAAATAGTCACAGCTCTGAGACGGCTGAAAAAGAGAAAAAAACAAGGGTTTTATTCTGTCTGGAAGGTTTTATTATGTCTGGAAGGTGTCGGAAGTGCCCAGATTTTGGCTCCCAAAATCCCCATCTCAGTCAGGCTCAAACCTGTCTGATGCCTGGGAAACACTTAGGAACTGGGGATATAATTTTTTAAAATAGGGATAATAATGATAACTGTCATTTATTGAGTATTTACCTCTTTTCACCCATTAGGGTCTTCATGTAGTCCCCTACTACATTCAGGGGGTACAGAGTTTGTGGCCAAGAAGTGGAATGAGCCAATAAGATTGTGTTTATGTGCAGGGTTGAGATGGGGAGATAAGGGCAAGCAGAGAAATGAAGCTAGTGAATGATTAAGGGGAAGAAATCACCAGAAATGAGATGCACTCATGAACACGCATGTTGCAGGTATTTTCACAAACTTGTACCTCATCCTGCCCCTTCCTTCTCTTCCAGCTCCAGGAGGCCTTTGGATGGGAGCCATTCACCCAGCTCTTTGCTGAGTACCAGACCCTCTCTGGCATCCCCAAAGACAACACTGGCAAGATGAATCTGTGGGTGAAGAAGTTCTCTGAAAGGGTACAGAAGAACCTGGCTCCTTTCTTTGAGGCCTGGGGCTGGCCTGTCCAGAAGGAAGTGGCTGCGAGCCTGGCCTGTCTGCCTGAGTGGCAGGAAAACCCCATGCAGATGTACATCCAGACTGAGGACTAAAAGATGTGCACGAAGGGGTGTGTGTGTGGGACGGGGGGTGATCACTCACCAACTCTGCCACCCTCTTTCTTGCCTAGTGTACCCTGAGCCTGAATCCTACTTCCTACTTCCTTCCTACCTCCTACTTCCTACTTCCTTCCTCAGGAAGGCCTTTAAGGTCCTAAGACACAATGGGACCAACCTTCTCAGGCTGCTGTGCTTCTTTTATTGTTTCTCTGCTGGTGCTCTTGCTCTCATCAAGAGCCTTGCTTCACCATCCTCATCCTCCAGAAGAGAATGTTTCGTCTTGGCATCTTGAGTTTCTGCAGGCTCTTTGCTTCTATTTATGACCGGTAGTTCTAAAGACCATGGATTCCATTATAATCTGGTATCACTCCCTCACCCCAGCCAGCCCTGAACAAAGCTCTTAACTTCTGCTTTGAGAAGCTTTCTAACAGCAAGCGAGACAGGCTGGTATGATGGAGAGAGCCCTGAACCAGCTTTGGTTCTACGGAAAATCACTGAACTCCGTCTGCATCTGGATTCTTATCCATGACATGGGATAAAAATCTATTGTTTGATGATGGTGAACGTCTTTGAACACAACCTGCAGACGCATATAAGGGAGCTCTTCAGCTTTCACCAGGCCCCACAGTAGCCTGTCTGCCCACTTTCATGTGACAACCTGAAAACTGAATCTCCCTTCAGAGTCAACCTCCGTGAGGTCAGCATTCAGTCTTGTGTGAGAGTATTCAGGGAACACCAGTGCTGTTCCCAGACATGGTATCAGTGATAGTCCTCACGATCCTAGCCCATCCTATGTGTCCTTTCTTCTGCCTCTGGAAAGATTCTTGGGTATAACCTAAGCCCAAGAATGTGGTATGAACTCAAACTGGAGGTTACAAAGCTATTGGGGTTTGGTCTTCTTGGTTAGTTTCATCTTCGAGTACATTTGCTTCGACCAAAGGAAAAAATCATTCCAGCAGCCCTACCAACTCCATAAGCCCATTGGTTCTTAGTACAAAACAGGTGTCTGACTCCTCTGGTCACCTTGGAATCAAGGCACTGTCAGTTATCGACAGCTACTGTGCTGAGAGGGCCATGGCCAGGACAGGCTCCAATGGAACAGGATTCCTGAGTGCAGCAGACCGAATTAACCCACACTCACTTATTACCCCACAAACCAGCATCCCCAAGCTTTCTCATAATCTCATTCCAACCCATCCCGGCTCTTTGGCTGGGTGGCATTCCAATTAGAGATGCATCCTCAGGATTAATGGGTGTACATCTACCCATTTTCCTCTAGCTTGCTTTTAAACCATATTTTTGTTGTTTTCAATATCATTCCATTAGCTTTGTTGAGAACAGAGAGACTCCTCAGGTGGAGAACTAACCTAGGGAATGTCTTTTTCTGAAACCCATCAGCACATCCTTCTCCCAATTCTAGGATAATTTCCTTTTATTTCACTAGTGTCCTTCGTCAGGTGCTTTTCACATGAAAAGTACTCAGTAAATATTTGTTAATTGAAAGAAAAGTAAAGACACCTAACACATAATGAACAGTCTTTATGTCCCAGACATCGTGTGAGGTATTTCCTATGAGTTATCTTACGGATATTATTATCCCATTTCATAGATGAGAAAGTGAACACTTAAGAATATTAAATAGCTTCTGAAGTCACAAAGCTAATAAGAGAAAGAGTCGGGGCTTGACTGAAGCCCACAGCAATGAAAAAACTGTAGAGCTTGTCTCCAAGGATGATTTTCAATTTAGAAACAAATTCACCGAGAAAATGGAAGTTCAACAAAGTTCTGACTTATGCCATGTTCACTATTGAATTTTTATTAAATACAAAATTTAACCTCTAAGAAAATATTGGTACCTGATTTTCTGGTTGTCTCAGCATGTGATTAGCTTCCCTATAGGTAGAGAAAGGATTTGAACGCAGGCAACTCAACTCCAGAACTGGTGTTCTTACCTGTGATGCTAGGGATGAGTAAATGAATGGATAATGCTGGGTTTAAGAGGTTGCCATAGAGACAAAGACAAAACCTGACTTTTCCCCACATTCTCTGTAGTGGAAGTTGGAGCCCTTCTCCCTCTTACAGAGAGACTGTGGCTCTGCCGCTTGTTTCTAAGTTCAGAATTAATTGCGTGTACCTGTGACACTCTCAGAGTATTCTGTATTCCAGAGCAAACTTGCTCCGAAGGATGTCTGTGCAGGTCCGGTGAATGCCATTTGCCAGGGAACTGTTATAAGTGCTTTTTATTTGTTTATCCTCACAACAGTCCTATGGAATAAGTACTACGACTGTCTCCATTTTTCAGAGAAAGAAGCAGAGATACAGAGGTAGCAAGTGGTGAAACCACATTTCTGTCCCTGGAAGTTGGACTCAGGACCCACACTTTAGCCAGCACACTATATACTACCGTACACTATATTACTGGGTCTGCCACAACCTGTAGCTCTACTTGCATGGAACTATGTGTATGGCTACTGCGTCACAAATGACCACATAAAACTACTAAAAACCAAACAGACTACTTCTAGTTACTCAAACAGGAATTATTTAACCATTAGGGTCATGCATCCAAGGCACACATCCCTCAATACCAAGACCCTGCCCTACCAAGTCTGAAAGGTTTTAAAGATCCTATGCTTCAAATAACAACTTCGTGGAGTCCTGGAGGAAGCTTGTCTTAACCTCAGGGCTTGTATCCAAGTGTCCTTTGCTCATTCTTAAGGATACCCAAACTTCCATCCTCATGTCTAAGACTGTTATTAGACAAAGGAGCCCATGCATTCTTATAGGTTACTAGATCGAATATCTGAAATACCGAAATTTCTAGCAAATTGGATAATTTTCTAAGGAAAGAAATCACCATAGGATACTTCAGGGAAGTAATAATGGCTACTTTAAAGTTTTAAAGGAAATTAAAAAGGACTATACCTCTATCTTATCTCCCCTGTGCACGAGATAGCCAGCGACTTATTAGAAGAATGGACAATTAATTTCAAAAAATTAAAGCATTAGTGGTTGGTCACACTAAATGGAACCACAACACCTCATACTTGTGGCAAATACTGTTGAAATAAAATAACAAGCACTTCTAAAGGGAATTAAAGTGATCTTCTATCTTGACTAAATCTCTGGCATTGTACATTCCCTGGTCGCCTATGTTGCTCTTTGTCTCCCCCTTATGGCCACCTAGAAAACCTTACAGCTCCTGACCATCAATTGTAACAGTGTAATTATTCCCATGGAGGCAAACTCTGTTTCTGTCTTAGTTTTAGTTTAAAAGACATATTCATGTGACTCTTCCCATGAAGAAACAGATTGGTCAATATGCTCTTCACTTTTAACATCCATAAAAAAAACCACCCAAATCAATTTGCTTCAACTGGAATGGAAACAAATTCATCTACTCTTTAGCTCATAACGTTGTTAAAATGGATTTAGATTCTTGGCATACAAAAGAGTTACTGCCGTTATCAATTACACATATGAAGTTTTAGTTAACACTTTTTACTAAATTTATGACTTTCATAAAATAAATGATTATTAGAACAAGCCCAAGAGGCTTCCCAAAATATACCTTTGGGGCCATCCAGACCACAGAGAAATATTCTCCCAAAATAAACATTACCTTTCTCTCATTTACACTAGCTCTTGTAAGAAAGAGGTACAAAGATTAGTAGCCTTATAACTAGTGGTAGCCCATTCAAGATTTGGTTAGGCTTCTCCAGCCTAATGCTTTGGGACATGTGTAAATTAGTGACCTCCCGCTGGGGAAAAGAAGTAGTAAGATGTTTACAAGTTTTTCAGGTCACAGTACAGGCTGCCTTTCCATTTGTCTCATGCCACAGAGAAAAGGAAACTTGGCCGCTTGGTGCCTCTAAGGGCCAATTTTGGGGGGAAAAAAGCTACTCACAGAAGGACGTCAAGTGCTACAAACTACTTATTAAAAATTGAGTAATGGGGCTTCCCTGGTGGCGCAGTGGTTAAGAATCCACCTGCCAATGCAGGGGACACGGGTTCGAACCCTGGTCCGGGAAGATCCCACATGCCGTGGAGCAACTAAGCCTGTGCACCACAACTACTGAGCCTGTGCTCTACAGCCCGCGAGCCACAACTACTGAGCCCACGCGCCTAGAGCCCGTGCTCCACAACAAGAGAAGCCACCGCAATGAGAAGCCCACGCACTGCAACGAAGAGTAGCCCCTGCTCACTGCAACTAGAGAAAGCCCGCGCGCAGCAACAAAGACCCAACGCAGCCAAAAATAAATAAATAAAA